TGGCAAGGATGCTGAGCAACTGGAGCTCTTATGCATTACTGGGGAAACTACGAAATGGCATAGCTACTCTGGAAAATATTTTGGCAGTTTTCTTCAAAAGTTAAGCATATACCTACTGCATAATCCAGCCATTCAACACCTCAATATTTACCCTGGAGAAATGAAACTTACCTCATGCAAAAACCTATACAGGAACGTTTGTAGCAGTGCATTTATATGTTCTAAGATTGGGAAGCAGCTCGAATGTCCTTTAATGGGGAATGGATAAGCAAACTTATATTTCCATACAATGGAATACTATTCCACAATAAAAAGAAACAAACTAATGATAAAAACAGCATACAGATGAATCTCAAAGACTGAGTGAAAGAAGCCAGGCTCCAAAGATTATGTACTATATGATTCCATTTATGGCACATCCTACAAATAGCAAAGGTATGGGGCGAGAGAAAAGATCATATGCAGGGACTAGGGGTAGCAGGAGGGTGTGACTACCAAACGATTTAAAGAGGACTTTTGTGGGGAGATGGAACTGTTCTGTATCCTGATTGTGGTGGTGGTTACACAAATCTATACATGTGTTACAACTCAGAGCACTGTGCACCAAAAAAATATGTTTACTATATGCTAATAGAAAATTTTTAAATAACAAAACATATATTTTTCATTTTACAAACAAAAAAAATTAAGGAGTGAAAAGAAGCACTATTTCTATTTGTAAATAAGGAAACCAACTTGCCCAAGGTCATTCAACCAATAAATGACTAGTTCTGAACTAGGACCCACATCTTGAAGGACACTATTCTTTCCCTGTTTTACTGAAAATAAACCTTCAGAAACCTAAGCTAAATCATGTATTAGCATGCATTTGGTTGTAAATAGCAAAAACTTCAACTCAAAGAGACTTAAACAAAAAGGACATTTATCATTTCACATAAGAAGGTGTACAGTGGTAGGGAGAGTCATGAGGTTGGTTGATTTTGCAACTCAGTGATGCCCTAAATGACCAAGATTCCTTCCTTCCACTCTGCCAAACCATAGCTTCATTCTAAAGCTGCTCATTATGGTCACAGGATGACTACTGCTGGTCTCAGACAGGGACTTATACTTCTTTATTCATGTCCAGTGGAAAATAGATCACCAGCAACAATCCCACAGAGCTTGTAACTAAAGAGCATACTACATGCAAATGTTTTATGTTTCTTAGGATGTTAAAGATTCCAGACAGCCAGCTGTAACAAGTGTATATGTAATTAGTAACTCTCTGAAACCTCTGAAATAAACAGAGCTCCTCACTGCAGTAACAGGCATATGTGTTACCTGTACAGAGTTCAATTTTGCAAAAGATCTTTGGCAATAGCTATGCCGAGTCTCTTAAACACTGTACCTCATGTTTCATTAGCATGTTAAAGTTTCCCAAGCAGTGTAATAGCTCATATTTTTAAACCTCTGGTTGGACAGATGAGGATTCTGAGGGTCTTATAGGAGTCAGGTGACTTGGCCAAATTCACCATTAGTTAGCAACACAGCCAGAGGTCACATTTGATCTTCAAACATCCTTCCCATACTTATTTACGTCACATGGATTCCCTTTTCAGTGCTTGGATTTCACTAGTGAAGTACAGTAGCAATTTCAAAGAAATATTACAAGTTCATACATGATGCTCACAAGCTTTAACTGTCAGGAAACTAACATTCTGTTCATCTCCAGTGGCAACATTTAGAATTTTAGACTCAAATGTGACAGGATAAACTTGAAAGCCTGGAGTCCCATTAACTTCTCCATCTCCCTTCCCTTGATATCCTATCAATTGTTCTGATAGGTGGATTATAATCCCCACATCTCTTGCATGCATCCCATTTTCTATTTCCACAGCCCCAGTATGTGCTTGTGCCCTTGTTATAATGCAATAACTTACTCTGTCTCTTTGCCTTCATTTTCTCCCCACCGCTTATACAGTGTGCTGGATTAATGTTTTCAAAACACAATGCAGATAATGACATATGTCCCCTTGTTTGCCCTAGCTCTAAAGCTCTAATAATCTTCCTTTGATTATAGATTAAATTCTTAACTCCATAATCTGGCTCTCAGGGCCCTCTACAATCTGGCTCCAATATTCCTTTCCAAACCTTGAAGAATCCTCCTTTCTGGGTGGGAGTCGCAAGCAGTGGTGTGGTGGGAGCAGCTCATGATTGCTTTCAAGAGCCAGTCTTACACCTCTCGTCCCAGCTCCACATTTGGCAGTGTCCCTTGGGTAGCTTGAAGCTGGCCATAATGGGAGCCTTTACACCACACAAATCAGTCAATGCCACAAATCAGGGCTTTTTTCTCTTTTGGAAGAGCTGGTAATTAAACGTTACCAGCACACCACCAGTTGCAAGGGAACCAAGGGTAAATCTGAGAGTGAGGGTTCCATATGGTATAGGAGACAAAGGTGTGGACACTAACAGCCCACATACCAAGTGAGAGATAAGAGGGCCTGGCAGAGGAGAACAGAAGCAGCATGTTGAAAAACTGTTTCCACAGAAGCAGACACTGAGAAAGGGGTTTGAGTTCAAGGGGTTTATGTGGAAGATGATCCCAGGAAGCACTGGTAGGGGAGGGAGGGAAGGGAGACGATGAAAGGAAGGCAGCTGATGTGGGTTGTGTGGATGAGCCCGGAACCACCAGGGGCAATTGAGGCTCAGCCCCACTGGTTGCCCACGTGGGGGTGAAGATTGAGTGGCAAGGAGGGGAGTATGCGTATCAGCTGTGGGCACTTGCACTCAGAAGGGGTGGGTATGTAGGGAAGACCAAACGCAAAGGGGATACAAACTGGACATGGATATTCATGGTCTTACGTTTTTCATGATTCGCTTGGTGGTGGCAGGGCTTCATTTAAATGGTCAGTGTTGGGGTGACCTCCAACTGGGAACCACTTGTTGCTACCCCAAATGCCCTAATTGTTTCTTCCTCTGGGTCTGCTCACAGGTTCCTTCCTTTGCTGTAATATCTTTTGTAGCTCCCTCCAGTTTTGACAATTCCATGACTCTTCCCAGTGCATCCGGGATCAGTCCTACCTCCTCCAGGAAATGTTGTCTAATCCCTACCCCTACACCCTGATGAGGGAAGCTGGGTGAGAAACAAGCCAAGCTGGAGGTCCCATGGGGCTGGAAGATAGGGAGCAGGGAACAAGCCTCCCCCTTGGTTAGAATGGCTGGGGTGAGGAGACGGAGACAGAAGTTGTGCTCTGGCATCATTCCAGACAGTGCACTCCATGTGGGAAGGGACTCATCACTCCTGTTTATCACTGCATCCCTCGGGGCCTACCCAGCACAGAGACCCAGCTCATGGTGGCTGCACAATTATTGGCGGTGTCAGAGAAAACTGAGTGAATGGAGGGCTGAGTGAACAAAGGCAACTAGGTAGAGAGCCAAACTAAGCAGTTGAAGTAGAATTAGAGAAGTCAGGAGTCATGGAGTGGATAGATAAGAGCACCTGGTAGAATTCTGAAGATGAATGTCAAACCCTATAAGGTGTTTCCACGTGTGACCCTGATGTCATTTGAGATACTTGTCTTTGGAGATTCAGTGAAATTGCCGTTAACCTCATCCCACTTGCACACTGAAACACGTTCTCTACCACAGCACTGCAGATGCTTCTAGATTCCTCCCCAAGCAGTTGTTTGTGTAGGTCACACACTTGACTGAAAATACCAGCTTTATATTAGCATGCAGTTCGACCTCTTCTCCCTGCGGACATACAGTTTCCTTCCCTGTTTTGTGGAGATCAATTTTTCTCTCCAAAACCTATCCAGCCACTGGCCCATTCTGCCTCTTCAAAGAAGCTTTCCCATCATTTCAAACAAGATATCATCTAATCTCTGACTTGGGACATTCACCCTATACTGTCTTACCTCCATGCCTTTGCAAACACTTGCTTTTGCCTGGAATGGTCTCTCCAGAACCGAAGATTTGGCAGAGGTTTGGAAACTTCAGTCTTTCCTCTCTTTATCTCACTCTGCACGTAGAAGGAAATACTGTCAAGGCTTATTTTCTTGCTGTTACTAAGTATGACATCACCACTATCCCTGCCCCACAATGGCCATAACCCTTTTTTGGCATTACATACATCTTTACCAAGCAGCTTACCTGGGTTTGCTTAAGTCATATAAATGGCCAGCAGAAACAGCCCCCACCCCTTTCCCTCTTCCCTGCTTCCTGCCCTCCCCTTTCCTGGGGTGATAGCACCTGATCCAGACCTCTCCTATGGGCTTGTATTATTCATGTTTATTTACTAATCATATTGCCCTCACTGCACTGTAAACTCTACAATGGTGAGCTCATCTTCCTTTTCTGAAGTTGCAGCCAAGCCCAGGATCTGGACACAGAATATATTTGAAAACATCGGATTTATAACTGTGGGTAAACGAATGAATATGAAGCTTTGGGTGGCCTTTATTGATCTGGAGGGGCCTCCAGGGGAGGAGCATATCACTTCTACTGACTGTGGAGTCCTTCTGGAATTAATAGACAACTACCTATTTATTGAAGACCTGACCATGTGTAAGGCACAGTGGGGGCTCCAGGACTGAGAGTGTTTTGCTATACCTCTACCCCCACTCCAGCTTCTCACCATCAAAAAATAGCTCCAGGGCATTTCTTTCTATTCATTTTCGTGGAAAGGCTGGGACTCAGAAGTAGGAAAGTAATATCACTGCAAATACTCAGGGCTGTCATGTTTACATCTGGGGTTTTGCACTGCCAGTTCATATTTTCTGAGTGAGTTATTTCTATGTACCTTCACAGCAGCCAGCACCGCAGTGCCTGGCATATATTAGACACTCAGAGAGCACTTGTCAATTGATTTTGTACAAGTATGTGACAGCATAAATACATTATGAAAAATGAGGAGTCTGGACACCAAAAGAGTCAGGATTCCTTCTTAAAAAAAAAAAACACAGTGGGGGAGCTTGGCTTAAAGTTCAAATGCTCCTGTACCCTGCCCTGCATATCTCTAACCAGGGCAATTTGATAAGGTAGGTGAAGGGTGTTACTACCCTTTGCTCTCTCATTGCAATTGAAAGCATTCCTGGATTTTAGGTGGACCCCACTGGCTACCTTGGTGAGCATAGAATCATCCTTTTTGTTATCAAAAGAAGATGCTATTTAATTTGAGGAACCTGTTGAACAACGTGACTCTTAGAAATGGTCACCATCTCGTGGTTCGAAATTTTCGGTAAGTGATGGCCAGAGATTTAAATATGACTTAAGAAGCATGAGTAATAAATGAAGTTCTATTCCACAGAGGAGTGCAGCCTCAAAAGGCCTCTTTTTGCAGGGTATAGTGCCAGGTTCTACCTTTATTTGAGGTAGCTTCTCTAGTTCTAGCTGAGTCTTCCTTTCTTTGTCCTCTGCAACCAGATTTCATCGTGCGCTTGGGAAGGGAGGGGGTACTAACCGTGGCAGGTAGAGCAGACCAAGTGTTCTTGGCATCTTCTGTTTGGGTACATTCTGAACGAGCAACTGGCTGAAGAAAATTAGAGAAACTGCTTTATACAGGGCCTTCAGCTTGTATTTGGGTTTGCTTGGAAACAATATTATCATTCCAGGGCATGGGAGTTTAATCCATTCTTTAAAAAAACAAAAACAAAACAGGCCTTGAATAACAACTAAATATTTACAGAGTTGCTGCAAAGAGCCTTTTATGTGATGAGGAGAGGACAATGATATTTTTAAAGCAAAATCCAAATTTGAAATCTATCTCTGAAATTCTTGGTAGCATGGAAGAGGAGGCTGTCTCCAGTGATTTCATTACAGAAGCTACATACTGCTCACAGCCATTGAGCGTGTGGTGGAGGGTGGTATGCAGTGCATCCACGGGGAAGGGGACAGGGGTGATGAGCTAACTGGGAAACAAGGCCATCAAATTCGGACATCGTTGCCAGAGAGCTTCTGGAGTAGTTGCATGTTAACAATCAGACAGAATTTTCCCAGACTGTCTTTGCAACCTACACCAACCTCAAAACTACCCCCACTGACTTCCTAAAGGAAGAAGTTTCTAGTCTGAAGTTTTCTCGTGCTGTTGGGAAGTAGACCTGTGACAGTGGCCCTGGGCCTTTCTTCTCCAGGCTAGCTGACAGCTCTGGGGTCTTTGGACTCCACCATTAGCACCCCTTGGTGAATATAAGACTTTCAGAAGCCAGAAGGACATTATAAGTGATACTATAAATTAAGTGCATACATTAGAGGTAGGTGGGACCTCAGGGTCACAGAACAGTGCCTTCTCTTATTTTACAGATAAGGTTAATGAGTTCCCAAGAGATTATGGGGTTTACCAATTAGTGCCAGAGTTAGATGATGTAACACAAGAACCCGAAAGAAAGCTCAGGCTTTGGAGTCTAAAGAACTAGTTTCAAGGCTTGTCACCACCTTTTGCTGGCTATATGACCTTGAGCAAGTCACTAAACTTTTCTGTAATATTGATTCACCTATAAAATAGGAAAAAGAAATATCTGCTATGCCTACATTACAGGGTGGTTCAACCATTCATTTAATAAATAGTAATCAAGCACCTGCTTAGTGCCACACCCTATGCAAGGTGTTGGATGTACCATGGTAAATAAGATATTTCATTCCAGATACATGAAGTCAAAGTCTGGTGATAATCTGAGATAATGTGTGTGAAAGTGACAGACAAATGTTCATCATTTTATTATTGCACACCAATGAGTTACAACAGATAAAATTTTATTCTGTAGTTTTTGACAAAGAATCATCACTGTGCTGAAAATAATCAAGTGAATGAATAACCAAAGCTTGGAACTGAAACTTAAACTCTTTTTGGAAAATTGCAGCAATGACTGATTTGTTCTACAGTTATTATGGGTTAAATTTTTGCAAGTAAAACCTCTTCCAACATTTGGGCTCTTTTGGTATTTACTAATATTCTACTGTCTGTAACCAGTAGCCAACCAACAATGCTGAAAATCCTGCACAGTGCATGGGGGCTGAGGTGAAAGCATGGCTAAATCAGCCCAAATCCATACCTGTTATTTGAAAATATGAAGGCCTTGAATCATCTATGTCATTAGAAACTTAGGAGCGTTGAGTCTCTATTGAAAAATGGGGTAACATTGAAATGGTGTTCTTATGTGACGTGGGTATTTTTCTTTCCTGCTCTTTTAGTTAGGTACACTGCATGCCAGCTAGATCAGGATTGCTGATCCCCAATAAGACCTACAGCCATACCGCCATGGACATGATAAAATAACAGCCTAAGTGAGGCTAAAGCAATCCATGCAGGCTCCTGGATCAATCATTTTTAGTCAATTATTACTATTTTTTTTACAAAATCAATAGGCTTACACACCAAGACTGCCAAAACCATGCAGTCTATAGGCTTTTCATCTCACAAACAAGGCTCTTGAGTCTGGCTCTGTTTGGATAATAGACAGTATCCTATGATTTGTTGCCTATTAGGGAAACCACTTATAGCCTTTAAAGAAACCACTAAAAAATATCTCTTTCTTTATCAGAGAAGACCAATTTGTACATGCAGCTCAATTCCATCTCACAAGTATAAATTTCTTCAGAGAATATTGAGCTAATTCTGTGGAAGTTATGGATTGGAGCTGAAGGTGACTAGTCTTCAAGTATTCCATTCCAGACCTAAGGGCTTACATAATTCATTATGTTCCCTTCATCCCACACACATGCCCACCTATACACACATGGATACACAGATGAAGTGATTACAGGCCATCCATGCTCTTGCATAGAGAAAAGAAAACAGTCCCCTTCGATCACTCATATTTTCTGGCATACCTGAAAATGAATGCCTTTTTAAAAACATATTTCCTGACTTCGGAAAACTATACAAGGCATGAGACCAGGAATGGAAGGGGGTATGATGTTTCCCTTGACCAGTGGTAGAATTTGGTTTTATTTCTATTTATTATTTTTAGTAATTTAGTAATTCAACAAAGGTAAAAGAGATACTATAAAGGCAGCCACAGATGTTTCCACAAGTTTGGGTTTCTAGCCCTTTAATAGTAGGTCTGCAAAAAGCTAACGCTCATCTGATTCTTCAATTTTCAGATGAGGGGAAATTTCACAGTTTTAGAATATTGACAATCTAGTGTATCTTAAACATTGCTTAGTCACCAAGTCATCAATAGTAATGCATACCACATTTGAGTATGTGACAACAGACAGGTTGCAAGTAACTTTTGTTAATAAATTATTATTATTATTGTTGATAATAAAGAAACCTGGAAATGATTTGGTTTTGAGTTTCAAATCAATAGCATCAGATTCAAGCACTTTGTGAAAATAAAGTCACTCTCTCTTGCACTCATTGCAATATGTCTTCTTGAGATAGGAAGAAAGGGAAGGAGCGAAAGGCTACTGCGAAGTCTGATGACTCTATTAGGACTCATGGGAAATCTTGTATTTATAAACTTCTTGAGTGCTGTGGAAAACAAAGATATGAAGGATCAATGATTTTAGTTCATTTTCTTAGTTTTTTCAGATGAGGAATTGAGGCCAAAGATGGAAAATGATCTCCCCAAGGTCATAGTTGAACTTGGATTAGAATTTGAATTTTTAAAACCATTGCTTTTTTCATTGTATTGCTTTGATTACTTTGATCCTTCCAATTTGATCAAGTTGGCCAATCTACCCTTGCACAATACCCTTTTTTTTTTTGTAGATATAACCAAAATATCTCAGTAAGGAAAAAAATGACAAGAAAATCCACCTTAACTTTTGTATCATTCTGCAACATTAAAGAAACAGCAAAATCTCAACCATTGGCTCATTGGCTCTCTCTTATGCCTCCAGAAGATAAAGTCTTTATCTCAAATTCTCCATGGAGATCAAAATATCATTTAACACTGAATTTTTTCCTACTACTCTGGCAAAGTCATTTTCTGAGTGTCCATATTTTACTCAACAAGCACTTTCTCTTCCAACAAAATACAATTATACAAGGCAACACATCCATGTCTCTCCCTATGCTCCAAGCACTTTACCAGAGTTGGAAAATGCAGAGTCTAGCAATGAAAGGTTTCATTCTGCCAGTAGTGAATACTCTTCCATTTTCTAGCTAGGAAGATATTTGGGTATAGTTAACACAGGATCTCCTATTACCTTGGCTTAATTTCTTAGCATTCAGTGATTTGGGGTTGAGAAATCTCTATAATTATTTCTTTCAAGGGATAAAATGAATGTAAAGAACTAGTCTGGCCTTTATCAAAAGCTCTGGCTTTAACCAGACTTCAGTGACAGTTTGATGGAAAATCTGTACATGGTTCCCATTGTTTTCTCCAATATTGTACCCTCCCTATTATGTGTTGGCATAAGTATGATAATGTGGTTTAGGTCTGGTTTACCAAGAAGACATTTGAGTACAAGAAGACCAAGCATTTTATGGGAATACTAAAATAGTGATTTTAGCCCTGGTTCAAGTGCTTGTGAAACCAGAGTTGGCCGATTCCAACTGAAGCATGGGGCCTCTGTGAGACCCTAGTAGTCATTTATGCCAGTGGGTTTACCTGGCTAATTCAAGTGTGGATTTATCATGAGAAACCAAGAAATGCTTGATACTGATCAGAAAAAAAGGGGGCTGTGGTGGAGGCATTTCAACATGGTATAATTATGGAGCTCTTCTACTTTTCTCTAAATTTTAAGCAGCTTAGGAAAGAGGTCTGGCAGCTCCATTTTGGAGCTGAGGGGAGGTCTAGGAGGAGACAGTAAACAGGATAGGGATTTAAACTGGAACCATTGTGTTTACTTTCCTTTCAGTGATACATTTTCCTGGTTACCTCTTAATATCTGAAAAACAGGTCTTTTTCCTAAGTGAACATTTCCTGCTCCACTTCCTGGGTAGAACTGAGATAGGTACTGACTAGTCTAATGATTTTTCAATGGTGTAAACAGTATGACCCCTTCACCAGTTGAGGTGCAATTAAACAAAAATTCCAGTTGATCACTCAAGCCCTTACATGCCAGTATAACCAGATACACAGTATCTATCTCTCCACCCTTTTTGTGTCCAAGAACCCTGGGGACTTATTCTGTCCCAAAGGGATTCATGGGAGAGGGAACCCAAATATCAATAGAGTGCACTATTACTGCTGTACTTTGGGTTTGGCCCTCATGGTGCTGTGAGCTGAACCTTGTCCCACCAGGTCCTCGCACCAGATTTCCAGGTGTGTGTAACTAACTCAGACAGCT